CGGCTGCACTGATGACAGGAGCTGTCTGTATTAAAATTCATTTAGATAAAACTATTTCTCTCAACTTGACTATTAGAAAAGCATAGTGTACTATGTTTTAAGAGAGTCTTGCTTAACGTTACCTTTTTCAGGTAATGGAAAGACAGACCTCCATAAAGGACCATCTTTGAGAATAAGCCAGAAGCCAATTATGAGGTTTGAGGGTGATCTTAGGCAATTCACCGCAAACAGTTTAATCTCTGCCTCTGTCTCTGTCTTAAAAGGGAGGAGGGGCTGTTTGAAGGCAAACGCTCCTTAGTGGAAGGACGAGCCTTGGAAACTGAGAAGCCAGGCATGGCTGTGTCCCAGGTCGGCTGTTCTGGTTGTGACCAATGAAACTAAGAGCATTGTGCTGACAGTCTTGAAGGCTATGCTTGTGAGCCCTGCACCTGACCCCCGTCCCCATAAAAACTGATGACAAATGCCGCAGCCATTGTTGAGCTTCTTGGTTTTACAGAGAGCGATTGGAGCCTGTAAGGCCACACAGACACCACTCGGCAAAGCACAGCCCCAGACATGAGCCCCTGGCACGCAGCTCCTCTGGGTGCACAGCTCTGCCCCGCAAGAGAGCAGCTGCACTGCTCCAAAGCCTTGTACTTTCAGCTATTTACGTTTATTTGACCTCTGCCTCTGCAAAGATGATCACCCATCTCCTGCTCCGGGATGCTGATTCTCAGGTGTCTAAAGAAGCCCAGATTGCGGTTGGTTCCTTGGGCCTCCTCTCGGTCCTCGAGGCAGCCAGATGGCTGCAAATGGTCTCCAGACAGAGCTGGGGAGATGTGTGCCTATAAGACCACCTGGCAGGGGTGCTGCCCAGATGGTCTAGGTTATCAGCCTTTGTGGGGACCAGCTGAGCTGTGCGCCCCGTTCTTGTCATGAAACCTATGCGGGATTGGATTCGGTATGCCAGCAAGTACCTCACCAATCCACGAAGTGTTTTTTGAAGGGAGATTTGCAACCAAAACCAGGGAAGTGAGAAGGGATGCTGACACCAAGCCTGCTCCAAGCTTACCCCCCATCTCTTCCCACTACACACCATCTGGGCAGGGCTGCCCCTGGAAAAGGAGCCAGGCTTCAGTTAAGGCAAATCTTGCTGGTTACAAATTCCTTTCCCACATTCAGCACCGCACCCAGCACAGTGCAACTAGGCTGCCAGCATTCGGCTGCCGCATGGGTGAGGGGGGCACTACCCATTCCCCGATGGTTCGGTACTGTGTGCTAGGGACTCCACGCAGCACTGGGGCCAGGAAAAGGGAGCACGCTTCACGAGGTGCATCGCGGTGCCCCCCCGGTGCTCGGCACGACCCCAGCACCAGCAGGTCATCAGCGTACAGTAACTGAGTGCATGACTCCCAGAGGGGCACAGCCTGGCAAGGAAACGGCCTTCAGGAAACACCAGCTTTCCTGTACTTGGTGAGCAGGTGACAAACAGGCGCTGAGTGCTGAGCGTGACGGGAGCCCAAGGGAAGGGGCCGTTTGGGCAGGGCCACATGCAGAGGTCAGGGACAGAGGGGCTTCTTATGAGAGCGGCATGTGAGCTGGCAGCGGCGGAGAAGGAAGGTTGGGCCAAATGCTGGCGCTCAATTCCTCTCCTAAATCATGACCGGAAAATGCAAACACACATGGCCAACCGCCCAACCCCCAACCAGCCCCTGGGAGGGATTCTCAGAGCTGCAGGCCCCCCTTTCAGGCCCATCTAATCAGAGGCCAAGGCTGGCAACAAGGACTAGGGAACACAGAAGAAAGAGCTGTGGGACAGATGCCTGACTCGGGGGGCAGAGGGGGCCGGCAGGCACTACCAGTCACAGCCCAGTGCAGGCCCCTGCTGCTCTCCAGGCTCTGGGCTGTGCCAGCTCTCCCAGCAGAGACCCTGCCTCCACCCTCAGGCCACTCTACCCCGCAGGCTGGGGCAGCTGCAGGGCCCAGCACATGGGAACGAGAACATAAAGCTTCTTGACAGGGTGACGAGTGCGGCTGCCGGTCCCAGCACCCCCTGGCTGCTTCTCTGGTGGCTGGGATCTTACAGACAGGTGTGCACGTATCTGTTCCGAGATCCACAGTTGCCTTTGAAGTATGTCTATCCAGCCCTACGTGCTACATATGGGCCATTTTTATTACTACGGATGGGTGTCAAATTAGGCTTAAATTTTTGTATCAAGTCTAAATATTGAGAAAATATTGAAATGCAGAATGAAATTATTAGCCAATTCAATCTTTGGTCTTTCCATCTGCTTGAATTCAGGTTTACAATAGCGGAAGTCTGCCATTCATGCCACGCCAGATGCTGTTACCAGAGGAGAGAGAGAGAGCAATGTCCTCGATGTTAATTTTCTTTAATTGAATTCGCCTATAGGGACAGTGTCTCAGAAACCCCTGATCAGTAAATCTACAAGACAGATGTGCCTGGCACATGGTAGGCACTCAATAAATATTTGTTCCACAAATGATTAAGTAAAATCAGAAAACAGGGATGTCAACCTCTGAGTCAAGGCTGAAAGGAGGGAAACGCAGAAGGTATTTTCAGCCCTTTGATGGTCCACGTGATCCCATGAGAAGGCAGCACGTGCTGGCCTGGAGCAGGGCCGAGGTGGCTCGGGCCGGCTCCCCCCTGTCTGCCTCCACGACGGGAGGACCAAAGGGCCCCGGGCCCCTGAGACCGCACAGCGGGCAGCACCTGCAAGTGGTAGGCGTGACAGCAGGAGAGGCCATGTGCCTTGACACTGAGTGAGGCCCAGTCTCTGCGGAACACGGGGAGGAAGGCACACAAATCCCCCAGCCCCGGGCCTCCTGTCTTCACCTGCACCCAGAGTGAGGCTACTCTGGTAGCCTCCTCCCCGGGGTGCGGTGACGCCGAGCTGAGGTGGCATCGTTCCCAGCAGGCCTCCCCATGTGAAGCTAGAGCCCCAAGGCCTGGGTGCGGAGCTTCTCCTGGGGGCCTCTCACCCAGGTCCTACCAGAGAGACCCACGTCCTCCTGCTCCAGTGTCACGACCACAGGTACCAGAATACGAGAACTTAGGAGTCTCCCGTGTTCACCTACAGAGGACCTGCGCTGTTCTCGTGACCCTCTCCTGTGAGGACTGGGCTGCGGGGTGAGTACTTTGCTGGAAACCCCACCTGGGTTGGTCCTGGGTGGCAGCACATACTGGCTGGACCCACACGTAAGTCAGTTCACCTTGCTGGGCTTCCATTTCCTCGATGGGGCGAGAGCGCCAATCAGAGAGAGGTGGGAAAACAAGACGAGAGGGCAGACGCCTGGGGCCTGGAACACGGCTCGAGTGCGGCCTCTTCCCGCACCGTGTTGCTCTGCTCATCCACCCAGCAAGGACGGACTGGACCCTCACTCTGTGCTGAGCTCCAGCGAAACCAGGAAAAGGCAACTCCAGTGTCCCCACCACTTAGCTTCCCTCTGTACAAAAGCCACATGCCGTAGCTCCAGGACAGGCTGCTCAGTTCACACCGAGTGCCCAGGCACTGCATTTTAAGGTCTGGTTTGCAATGCCTTCTACTCACACACGAAGTGCTCATTCTGTCACCGCTCCCTGGAGAGAGGGTCTGCCAGCCCCCAGTCCACTTCAGTTTGCATGAAGGACCTTGCCTCAGCTCCTGGGCCACCTGCACACTGAGGGTATTTCCAGAATCCAGCAGCCAGTTTGGAATAATCTGAGACCATAGCACATTCTTCGACCACCCCATAATCACAGAGTCAATGTGTGAACGAGGGAATTAACAGACACTCACAACAGAGCTGCCTCTTCCTGGGAGAAGTTCTGAGTAAGCCATCCACGCACACCCTGGGACCTGAGAGCATTCCCAACCCTTGTCCCCTAGATAAAACTTCTACTTGCCCTTAAGAAGCCCACTCTAAAGTCACCCCCTCTGTGAAGCCTTCCCTGATTGCCCTGCACCCTGCGGCTTCCTCCTCGGAGCCTCACAGCACTTGGCACAATGCTCTGAGCCTGCTCCCCAAAGTGCATCTCATTGCCAGGTGACACCCCACACCTTCCCAGGCTGTGGGGCAGCACTGAGGCTATATCTGTGCATCTCAGCCTCTCAAGTCCTCGTGAAATACCCGAGCAGAGCAGGTGCTCTGCACACACACAATCACACAAGGAGCCCTGGGTTTCTCCGGAGCACCTGCTCAGCCAGCGGAGCACCAGCTATGTCAACAATGCATATCATGCGCTGTGCGATCTGATTCCTGCTTCCCTAACAATTGTATCCTGTGTTTAGCTGTCAGTCTGTGAAACTCCTCAAGCCCAGCACAGATAGGTGGCCATTAGAGACTGTCACTGTGGATAAAACGAACATTCCTGTGGCCAGGACTCTCACCTGGCCCCGGTTGGTTAGCTCGCTTCACACATGTGGGCAATACGTTGTTATTGACTCTATTAAAGAGCCCCACCCAGTGCTCTGGGAGAAACAGTGGCACTGATGCAAGGCTGCACGAGAGCAGAGACGAGACTGGAGTGGTGGCAGCGCCGAGGACAGAGACCAGGATGGCTGCGTGGGCAGAGCAGAGACCGGCTTGCTGCATGTATACTCGCTCTGAGTGGACAGGATTCTAGGGATGGACCTGCCACCGTGGAAATAAAGTTGGGTATGACCCTTTCACCCCAGGAATGTTCTGTCATTTCTTTGGTCACAGGGAATCCATAGTGAACTTGCCGGGGGCTGAAACCCATTGGCAAGACAGTCACCAACACAAATGTCCACACTGGCAAGAAACATGTGATCCAAGAAGAACCCCCAGCCCCAGAGCAAGGCTTTCCTCACCCCGAATCAACACTGCACTGGTGGGGCCTTAGTGCTGGGGAAAGGTTAGGAAAATGCTCACGCTCTGGTACCGACTTTCTTGCTGTGGCTAAAATTCAATGGCTAGCCCCCTCTGAGGTCCTGCTCACTGGTCAGAGACCTAGAGCAGAGCGCGCGGAGGGCGAAACAGCCCCATGGGAAGGATATGATTCTCCAGCGGATGTCCAGCTTGCTGTTGATCTCCAGGCCTCGGGCTTCCTGCCTCTCTTCTTCCAGCTGCTTCAAATTTGCACATTGTCCCTTCTCCCCAGGGGATGCTGGGAAACTCTCAAAGTTGAACTTGTCCACTTGAATAGCCATTCTAAGAGAAGGGGGAAAACAGCAGAGAATTCATCAGTAGGGCAATTTCTCTGCTGGCTGTTGGAAAATCAGCACACGCCAGCGTGAGACAGTATAATGAGTCATTACTGTAACTCATAACAGATTCCTTCTAAGAAAATGAAATAATAGACTCCCAGGGTAGCACTGGCTTCAGAGCTGGTTCAATACACGGTTCAGAACTGAAGACACAGCCAGAGACTCCAATCTCAGACAAGACACAAGCACCCCAGAGAGAGCAGGACAAGGCAGGGGGACCCAATGGGGAAGTCACAGAGAGGGCGGGGATGCTTTGACCCAGGGGCAGTCCGGCCTCTCCACTGGACTTGTACCTGTCACCCCCACTCTAGCCTTGGCCAGGTGGACTTGCTCACACCTGCCATGCCCCCCCAGACTCCCCTCTGCCCACTTGCAGCCCTGGTGCCTAGAACCCCCCTTGTCTTCAGAGCCAATCACCACACTCCCTCTAGGTTTCTGCTCAGGTATCACGTCCTCTACAAAGTCTCCCACTCTGCTGGCTGTGTCCAGCCCTCTCAAGCTTCTGGCAGTTTCTAGAACACACCAGGTTCTCCCTGACTTGGCCTTTGCACTCGTGCTTCCTGTGGGCAGGAGTCTCCTCTGAGCCTGGGCACAGCTGGCGCCTGCATTCTTCAGGTCTGAGCTTAGGAGGCGTCCTTCCATGCCTCCCCTGCAGTGGCGTTCTCTCTCATCTCCCCTCACCTTCCCTGCAGCCGTCAACTCGGTTCTGTCAGAGCATTCGTCATGAGCTGGAAACATTTATCTTTGCACATTGTCTATCAACTCCACCAGAATTCAGCTCCCTGAGGGCAGAGATTCCTCCGTCTTGTTCACTGTAGTGTCCCAGGCCTGGAATAAAGCCGGGCACACTGCAGCAGCTCAGCAATTCACTGAGTGAGTGAATGAGTGAGTTAAGGCTCCCTGGAAGCCCCAGGACAGCACTCACCTCCCCGCTCACTGCCGCCCCAGCCCTGGCAGCCATGTACACATTCAGCTGCGTCCCAGGCCCTGCAGCCCCCACCTGGGGCCCTACTTAACCACTTGCAGCCTGCCTCCATGCCCACCCATGATATTCACGTTGGCAGGGGCTGCATCTCACTGATGTCTGAAACTCTACTTAGCACAAAATCGAACATACAGTATATACTCAGTAAAGGTGTGTTACAGAGATGGATGAAGGGAGAGGGGGAGGTTAGGGGATTCCTTCAAGTCAGGACCCTGAAGTTATGGCTCCAACTGAGCGCAGACTGACAGTCAGTCACGGGAACTAGCAGGTTCTGTATCCACACAGGCTGGGCTGTGGCTGGAACACCCATCCCAGCCCACTCTAATCAGCCTTTGGGACTACTCCCTTTAACAACCAGGAGAACAGAGGAATCGGTGTCAGGGTGTATGAATATAAGATTAAACCCACAGTTGCTTTAATTTGTCTGATTTCTCTCAGACTGTTCAAGTACAGTTGGACAATATCCATCATATCATAGACAAATTTTCACAAATGCCTAGGGTGCCTAACTGGTTTTCTTGGCTTCACTGGAGATGGCTGGTAATTATAGATTTGCTTTGTTTATGTCACCATATTCCTATTATGTTAATATGTGTGCACAAGTTAGTTAGTAGT